ACGTGTCGGGCGCCGACGCCATTTTTGGCTGCGGCCAGTCGGCCTCAGATCCTATGGACGTTGTGGTTCCAGGAGCTTGAGATCTTCGCTGTGGCCAGATTTTGGGAGCCGTGGACGGCTTCGCGTCAGGAAACACTCCTCCTGCATTACGTGGGTCAGGAGGCCCGTCGTCTGCACTTTGCGGTGGCAGAAGCAACGCAGCTGAGGGACCAGGACTCTGTCAAGTATGGAGTGGATCCCGTAGAAGACAAGGTCAAGGACCGGCTTCCGGAGGTAGCTGCTGTGTTCCGGCGCCTGTTTCCAGATAGACGATCAGAGCACACTGAGCGTGCGCTGTTCCGGAGATGTTTGCAGCAGGAGCACCAGTCTGCAGAGGTGTACATGGCAGAGCTGCATGAGCATGGTGCCAGATGTGGTTTCGGACCTCTCCAGGAGTAGTTCCTGTGTGAGCAGTTTGTCGAGGGCTGCTGCACGGACAAGCTGCTTGAGCGCCTTGCGGGGATCCATCCCTGACTGTATCTCGGGTGCTGGAGGTTGCAGTGGCTATGGATCTGGCAACGGAGCGCCATAGGCTAGTTGGTGGCCGTGCTGGCAAGCCTGTGCCATCACAGCCACAGCTGGAGGTGGCTGGTGTCGCGACTCGGAGGGCGCCTGTGGTTGCAATCCAGTGTTTCAACTGTGGTGGCCCACGCAAAGCAGGAGACGGCCACTGTCCTGCTCGTGGGCACAAGTGCAGGCAGTGTGATAAGTTGGGGCATTGCGCCAAGTTCTGTAGGGCTCAGCGGGCAACCAGGACCAACAGCAAGCCGAAGACAGCGAGGGCAGTGGAAGTACCGGCGGTCGACAAAGCAAAGGAGCAGAAGAGCCTGTGAGCTTAGGTGAAGGTGGATGGTCAGTGGTTGTGCATGCTGATAGACACCGGCTCAGCAGTAAGCATCCTGCCGCTGCAGCTGTACCAGAAGCAGTTCCTGCATCTACCTCTGCTCCCCGCCGCAGTGCGCCTGCAGGCGTATGGAGGTGCGTCCCTTCCAGTCGAAGGTCTACTTCAAGTGGATGTGAAGGCCGGGAACGGTAGGAGCTCCCATGTGGTCATATGTGTAGTGACGTTGGAGTACCGTTGCTGGACAGGGATCTTCAGGAGGTGCTGCAGCTGTTGGTTGTACGCGGGCTGGCTGTGTGCAGTCGGTCAGCAGGATCCAGACAGGCTGTTCTGCCTGTCTGGGTTCGTTCACCGAGTGCAACTGAAGTCAGGAGTTCAACCAGTTCAGCAGCGACTTCGACCTCTTCCGTTTGCTCTCAGGGATCAGGTACGAGCTCACCTGAAAGAACTTCGACGGGCTGGTATCATTGAGCCAGTGGATTCCTTCTCCTGGATTTCACCCATCGTGGTGCCCGGGAGACGCAGAGGCAACCTGCGCCTCTGCGTGGATCTCCGGGAGTTCAAGGAGGCGGTAGAGGGGAGCGGTCATCCCCTACCAGATATGCAGGATGTGCTGGAGCAGCTTCAGGGAGCGACCATATTCTCCAGCCTGGACATGAAGTCGGCCTACCGTCAGCTGGACCTGCACCCAGAGCTGATAACGTTTGTTACACATCAAGGACTCATGAGCTTCAGGAGATGCCCTTATGAGCTGAAGAGTCCCTCAGGCCTTCCAGAAGGTGATGGAGGCCATCATTCGTGGTTTACCAGGTGTCCAAGTGTACTTGGATGACGTCATCGTCTGGCGCGGCTCTCGAAGTGAGCTCGACGAGCGACCCTCTGCTGTCCTGAGATGTGTCCAGCAGCATAACGTCACCCTCAACATGGCGAAGTGCAGAATGAGGCAACCGTCAGTGGAGTTTTGGGGTTCACCGTGTCTTCGCGGGGTGCGCCTGTGAACCCAGGCAGGTTTCAGGCCCCGACGGAGCTGCAGCCGCCAGCTGGGCTCAAGGACATGCAGGCCATGCTCGGCCTATTCTGTTTCTACAGTCGCTTCGTGCCGGACTACAGCACGCGGGTGGAGCCTCTGTGGCGACTGCTGAGGAAGGGGGATGCCACCGTTCCCGTGGACCGCGAATCTGTCGGCCGTGATGGACGCGGTACGGCGGGGAGCATCTTGACCAGCCAGGTGCTCGCCATGTACGACCCACCCCTGCCGACCCGAGTCACCACCGACGCCAGTGACGTCGGGCTCAGTGCTGTCTCAGCTGCATCCAGAGGGGTAGAGGGTGATGAGCTTCGCCTCCTGCAGTCTCAACCCATCGCAGCGGCGGTACAGCGTGACGGAGCGGGAGGCACTCACGTGCATCTGGGCGGTGGACAAGTGGAGGAGTACCTGTGGGGACGGTCTTTCTGCCTCGAATGGACCATGCTGCGCCCTGCACCCTGGTGGCGTCACCAGGTATGGGTCGAGCCGGCCTAAGGATCGACAAGTGGGCGTCACGTCTGATGGCGTGCGACTTCAAGGTCGAGCACGTCAAAGGCTCGGACAACCCAGGGATGGCCTTTCGAGACTTCCAGGTCGGATTGAGGAGGCTCAAAAAGACGACGCCGTGGCGGTGGCAGCGGTGACGGCCCAGCTCCAGGCCGTGCGGCGGGACGAGCTGGCTGAGGCAACGCGGGAGCACCCGGTGCTACGCCAGCCCACGGAGCAGACTCCGAGGCGGTGGCCGCGGCGGTGCAGAGACTGCCCAGAGGAGCTCCAGCCGTTCTACCGTTGCCGGGGTGAGCTCAGCCTGGTGGACGACCTGATGCCACGCGGGCAGCGAGAGGTCGTCCCGGCAAGACTGCACTCCAGGACGATCGAACCGGCTTACGAGGACCACCAGGGATCGTGAGATCCAAACAGCGAGCTAGAAAATGTTGCTGGTGGCCGATAATGGACACCGAGGTGGAATCTGCTGTCAGAGCTTGCGACGCTTGCTCAGCGCTGGACAAGACGGCCAGGACACGCGGCGCGCCGATGCAGCCCGTACTTTTGCCACGAGCAGCATGGGACGAGGTCGGGGTGGACTACATCAGCCCTATGGAGACACCCGAGAACCAACGGTTCGCGATGGTTTTGGTGGACTTCTAGTCCAAGTAGATCGATGTAAAGGTTTGTGCAGAACCGAGCTCAGAAGCCGTTATCCAGTTCCTGGAAGTGATCGCTTCGCGAGAAGGCTACCCGAAAGAGTTTGTCTCCAACACGGGACGCACTTCACGTCCGTAGCCTTCACTGAGTACCTGCAGAGTGTAGGGACTTGTCAGATTCGCGTGACTCCGTACCACCCGGCGGGGTCGGGTGCGGTGGAGCGGGCCAACCGCACCCTGAAGTCAGCACTGCAGACGGCAGACCAGAGTGGCGAGGACCGCATCGAGTACCAGCAGAAGTTCACAGCAGTACCGGGGCACACCGCACGCCACCACCGGAGTCAGCCCGTCTGAGCTGCTGCACGGCAGACGACTGAGGACCAAGCTACACGCGGCAGCCGCCGAGTCGCCTCACAGTGAGACAAAGATGTAGCATGTAGTAAGAAGACGTATGCGGAGCCGGCAGGAGTATCAGCGGAAGTACGCTGACCGCACGAGGAGTGCCAGGCTACCCTCGTGCGCCGTCGGGAACTGGGTCAGGTACCGCCGGGTACCCCGGCCAAGGAAGGGGCGCCACCAACTCTCCGAGCTGGGGCAGATCGTGGCTCGCCAAAGGGCGTCTAGTTACGAGCTGGACTGTGGTACCAGGGTGTGCGCCGAGCGTCTCACTCGCTTGACGGCTGCACCTGATCACCAGCCGGCGGAGCAGGCCGCTGAGCTGTCTGTGGGACAGCAGCCGGAGCACCAGCAGAACCGAGAGAGTGCATCCTGGCCGCCTGAGCAAGGGGCACCGCGTGTGTCGGCAGTGGAGACGGCGGTAGCGCCTGGTCGCGCTGCGCCGGCGGCGGCGGTCGCGGATGACGAAGCTGTGACTGCTGTACCGGTATCGTCTGGTGGATCTGTGCGGGTGGACCCGGGGTTTTCCCCGGGCCGGCCCGGCTCAGCATCATCTCCGGCGGATGCATAGCCAGCAGGAGACGCTGAGGAGCGGCCGCCTGCCGGGGTGATCGCGGGAGCGGAGCTGGTGGTAACGGGCGGCGCTGGCGATGAGCTGGTGCGTGACGGTAACGGTGACGTGCGTGGCGCAGCTCTCATTCGTTCAGGACGGAGCGTGCGTGCTCCAGAGTGTTACAGATTTTCGGGGGGGGGGGAATGTAGGGTTTAGGTGTTTTGGAAGTTTTTCCGCAGTTGACATTAAACCGTAGCTGTTCGGCTGCCTAGCGGAGGTTACAGGAATCTGGGTTTGGTCGTGTCACCGCTGCGGAGTCTGCGTGTGGGGTGACGACCTTTGGTGCGGGTTGTTGTCTGCATGATGCGGCACGGCTGGCTGTAAGATATATCGCACGGGTAAGACATAAGCCCATTATATCTTCTAAGCATACGAATTTATATCATTAAGCACTCAAAGGTATTCTTTCAGATGCATCGAAATTTTGGTCCGTCCGCTGGCCGCCGCCTTTCCGCCGTTGGCCGTCGCGACACCGCGCGACTTACGGAGATCGCAACGCTGGACGCCCAATTTTTTCTTTTTCGTATCTGTGAGCGCGCATGTTCAAAACGTTGTTTCTTTGTTACGCTAGCTTGTATCCTATTATCCTATTACTCTGGCTTTCACCATCAGAGGGCTTTTGTCAACCCTCTGTCCACCCCTCGCCATGGCCCTGGTTGCGCCCCTGGACATCGTCCGGCAACGCAAAGCATGTCCCAATGCAAATGCGGATGGTTGGTGATTGACGGGTAGTGGCGGATGCTTAGGTTAATCGTTGTCATGTCAGTTGGCGCAAATTTTGAGTAACTTACAGAAAGCGCGGCGTTCTGAAGGGCCGCGTGCTCGAGTGAATGATGTCTTCAACGTCGTTTTGCGCATGCGCCAAAAACTAAGCTCATGCGGCAAAAGCAACGCACTTAATCCGTGCTGTATTCCGCAAGGCTGGCATACAATCTGCAAACCAGTGGAGGGGTGATGTGTCTGGGTGAGAACTGCGTGGGCGTGGAGTAAAGCTCAGGAGCTGTGGGTGTAAGTGTCGTGGATGCACTGTATGAACTTGATTGATCAATTATGGAGTGCAATTGATGTTTGCACTAGCTAAATCCGGGGAATGTGGATGCCCTGGAGCTGGACCCCTTCGCCTTGATTTTATCTGGACTTGACCTGGTGAGGTGAGTAGTGGCCCACTTGATTGGCAGGTAGATACCTTCCTTCCCATCCGCCTACTGCTATCATGTGTTGCTATGTGCCATTATTTTGGTGACGCCTTTAGTGTTGATGCTGTGGAAAGCTCCATTGAGTAATGATGCAGGAGGTATGAAGTGACATTAACTAAAACTGAGTGTCATCCTGTGGCCTGGGGAAATGATGGTGGATTTGTAATCCAGCAGTACCAGGTGCAAGTTCTGGAGCAGGAACATTGTCCCAATTTCACTGGAAAGGTCAGCTGGGAGCTGGTAACAAGGATCAACTCAGGACTCTGGCAGCTCTGCCAGCATTGCACGGCATGTGAAACCCACTGCCTTCCAACATCATAAAAGGATGGAGGCAAAATAAGTTGTTGAATTGGGTGGCACAGCTTTGGTAGCAGGTACAGGGTACAAGCAATAAGCTGTGCTTAGCATGTGCTCTGAAGCCAAAACCCATGATTCATACCATTCAAAAAAGATATTTAAAAAGTCCCAGAAATTAGGTGAGTTTTTTATGCCTAAGTGATATGGATTTGCTTAGCCTTGTATGTTTATGTGCTGAACCCATTTAAGTGAATTAGGTGAAACTTTCCTTTTTTGGCTTTAAAAAATATTTGGGGAGGGGAAGGTTATTCAATTTAAAGTGACTGTACCTACTGTACTGGTGCTTACTGGTTCTTTCAAACATTGGTTATATGTACAAATTATTGGTGATTGCCCATTAAACTCAGGACATTTATGTGTGCTGCATAGATATGCTAATGTGGCTGCTATGCTCTACACCAGGCATTTTTGGTATAGCATGCATTTTTTAGTTGTAAGACAAGGCTGCCATTGAATTCACTAGGCTGTTGCCAATAATTGTATGATATGCCCCTGACAGGCATGTAATTTTGACCAGTCATGAATTTATTTCCATCCTGTTGGGTACATCATAGGGATGCAACGTGCTTGCTATGATAATGGTATCTGAGCCTGTGATCTAGTCTTTGCCCAAGATGCTATATATTTACAGCATGGGAATGTGAAAATGTGATATTTATTATAAGATGTCAGGTACCATTATCATCATAACAAGCCAACTAAGGGCTACCAACATGCAATTGCACTGGTCAGCTGGATGGCCTTTTGCAGTGCTGGCAGTATGCTGTGATTTATTGCATTAACTCCCCCCACATTATGTTGTGGATGTGGGGGTTGTAGATCTATACCTATCACAAGGGAACACATAATGAAAATTGGCAAGGATGGTTGTAGACTAATACCTGTTATGAGAGAATAAGTTGCTAAAATACTGTAAATACAATAAATATTTGAGAGGTGTTAGCAAGGATTGACAATAAAACTTAATTTAAATAGTATATTGAAATAATTTGTCATGGATGTAATAAAAGGTGAAGAGAATAATAAAAAGTAGGTAGTGTATTTTTACAAGTGAAATACAATCTGGGGTAAAGCTTCACATCAGTTGCTTGCAGGCAGTGTGGAGAAATGGCTAACTCTCTCTAAAGAAATTGAGTAAAAGGTGCTTTCTCCCTGGATTTGACCACTTGCTATTTTCTGAAGAATGTAAGCTGCTCCCTGCAGCTCAAAAGAAAACCACACTGATTTTTTGGTAACATGGCTACCATAAAGTCCATCCGTCCCAGTGGCTCAGTTGGTTAGAGCACCTGCCTCCCGATTCACCCACCCGTGGCGGGGTGGGTTCAAGTCGCTTTAGGCGCTCGCTATTTGCCCTTGACAGGTATGGCCTGCTACTAGTGGCAGCGGTCGCACTGAAGGTCAGTTGACGTCAGAGGGCAGGACGGACCGTGCCGAGCATTGTGGCACGTTAAGCTTTCGCCACTAAATTCTGCCGTTGCCTGGAATTGTGTGATCGGATGGTAAGGGTCAGGGCTCACACAACAAGCACTGCTTAGCGTGAGAGCTGATCCCAGAAATCCATCCATTCAAAGGGTTTGGATCAAATTTTTAAAAAAAATCACTAATATATACATATATACATATATATGTATATGTATATATATATATATATATATATATATATACATGTGTGTGTGTAAATACATATATGTGTGCATGTGTATATGTATGCATGTATGTGTATACATATCTGATTGGCATTTTACAGATTTGATCCAAACCTTTTGAAGGTGTGTATGTGTGGGATCAGAGCCCATGCTAAGCAGTGCTTGTTGTGTGAGCACTGACCCCTACCATTTGTTCATCATCATCTGTAGAAACATCATCTGATCCCCATCATCTGCAAGGCCAGGGCAGCAGTAGAATTTGATGGTGTAAGTTAAGCATGCTTCAGTGCTCTGTACAGCCAGCCCTGCTCTCATCTGACCCTTAGTGCGGCTGCTGTGACAGACCAGAAGACCAGAAGACAGGTGGTTGTGGACCAGAAGACAGGTGCTACAACCAGTCATAATAATGGGAAGAATGAATTGAAACAGACTGGGTGCTTTGCTAAATGAGTGAATACCATGGACCCTAAAAGGAACAGGAGTAAAATACATGTTCAAAATGAGCTGTTAAAAGATGAATGAACCACCATAAAATTAGTGTGTTAAGATGAAGTCATTGTCAAGTGATATTTGTTTCAAATTGTTCCATAATGAATACATTGGGCATAAGGTTTAATGTCACAGCAGTGATAGCAGTAACAGAATAAAATAAGCATAATTTTTGACTACATCCTTATAAAATTGTCATATGGTAACCAACCTACCAAGATCTCTCCATGAATTATCATAGGTGTTTTTGTCCATTTCCTCTGTGGTTAAGCACCATTTAGACTGGAAAAACAGCCCCTCCACAAGTTACGCTATGTCAGCTGCCCACAAAAGTAGCATCAGTCACTCCTAAGTGGGGCTGTGATGCGTAATAAACACTGTCATGGTGCTTGTCATAATGGGAAGCCAATAATTTATGGCTTTGAGGTTTTGATATTGAATATATGCATGATTTGGAGCCGCACCTGAGCTTAACAATATGCTGTCCAACTGTGTTTGCTGTGTTGCACATCAGTTACAGTCCATCAAATATGTTGCCTTGTGTCGGCAACAGGGACAGAGGCATTAGGGGAATGTGAGCAAAGGGACTGGCAAGGATAACTCTCAAGGGGTGGATATAATTTTGAACCCATCAAACTTTAGGAGTCTCCAATAGGCCAACAGGAGCCACATATGACTGCAGGAGAAAATCAAGTCAAAAGCAGAGAATGGTCCTTGGGATGTGGGGGGCATGCGGCATGGGGCATGTGGGAGACTACCCTACCCTGAAGCAGGCCCTAGATGGTCGCAAGTCGCAGTCAGCCAAGTAGCAGGGCAGGATCTACCCCTCCTTTAGCCCCATGTTATCATCACGGATGGCTTGGGACATTGTGGAAAATCACCTGACAGAACATTGAAAACTGGCGTGATGTATTCTCACTAAGCTCCCCCTCTCCTTGGGGGAGCTTCACACTTCAGAACTGCAAAGTTTTGGTCCTGAAAACCGTGATGAGGAAACAATTTGCATAACTCGTCATGCATGAAAATGATGCGCTGGCGGTACGGTGCTCAGAGGTCTGGCTGACATCTAAGGCATCAATGGGAGGCATGTAACGTGAAGCTGAAAGATGTTACAACTTATCTGGCTGTTTGCATTGTCAGAGGTTTGAAAGTTTGGGGCAAGTGAGGAGTAACTTTGTAGGTGGACAGAGGCGTTGCATTCTGTCATCTTTTCGGCATTGGTTTTGGGGGTCATAGGGATTTCGCATGCCGAAGAGGCTCTTGTCTGTTTTTCCGAAAAGGGCAGACACTTCTGTCTTATACATGCAGCTTTCAAACTACGGCAAATTCGTAAGGCTGACATGTTACATTTGCGCTTCATGCTCCCCGGAATGATATTGACTAACATCCCGTTATAACAGGAGTGCTACATCACTGCGTCATACCCGCTTGCCATAAGACCCACATTAAGCCAAAACTTTGTAGAATTTTTTCCAGTGAGAAACCCTGCCTGACAAATATCAAGGGATGGGCGCAAAATGACCCTAGAAGTCGACGCGCCCTAAAACCCCAATCATCATCAAATGTCAAGGGAATCAGCGAGTCCATGGCATAGATTTCCAAATTTTACTTGGGAAATATGTGTGAGTAAGCAGTGGTGTATACAAGGGCAGCACCAAAATCTTATACCCTCTCCCTCATATTAAGTTTTAGGGGTATTGCACCTGAATGAATACCGACTATATCGAGGGACACGTTAAAATAAAAATGTTAAACACGTGCGGTGTTGTATACGACACGCCAGAAATTCCACGCGTTTGCGACACGTTAAAATGACTTCGGGTCACACATTTTGGGTTGCCCCCCGGCCCTCCGTGACGAAATCGGGCATATGCACCTGTCTGTGGACCCAATCCACTTCCTTGGTGATTTTGATCGGTTTATGTCGCTTCTCGACGGTGACCTGAAAGGCAAACCTCAGTTGCCACACTGAGAGGCCGAAATTTCATGATTGGGGTGGACTGACGTTAGATTGTGACGCTGTGAAGTGGCGCGGGTGTTCCGAACCGGGTGCTGTGACGGCGAGTCCCGTGATCTGGCCGGCCCTCGGCTAATGAGCGGACGCTGCCTTTCCGGCTGAGGTCATGTCGGCTCTCGGAGGGCAGCGGACGCACAGGCGGTCTGTGTCCTGTCCTGGTCTACTCTTTCTTCGAGGTGCCAAGTCGTCCTCTTAGTCTGCTCTTCCCCCGAGGTACCAAGTCGTCCTCTTAGTCTGCTCTTCCCCCGAGGTGCCAAGTTGTCCTCTTAGTCTGCTCTTCCCCCGAGGTGCCAAGTCGTCCTCTTAGTCTGCTCTTCCCCCGAGGTGCCAAGTCGTCCTCTTAGTCTGCTCTTCCCCCGAGGTGCCAAGTCGTCCTCTTAGTCTGCTCTTCCCCCGAGGTTGCCAAGTCGTCCTCTTAGTCTGCTCTTCCCCCGAGGTGCCAAGTC